CAGCCAAGAGACTAGTGTGAAGGTCCAGGGAACAATGATGAAAACTGCCCTAGGGAGTTTTTAGGGGCAGAGGGCCCATTTAGGAGCAATTTATGTTGTAGGGTCAGTGGAACATGGTGTTACCATCAGGGGACTTTCAAGAGTGGAGACACTAGACACATGACCTTGCTTCACATCCTGGCCTCACTGAAGGTAGATGATGACCTTACCTAGAAACCAGAGACCCTTGTTGATGCTGAGCCTTGTCATTCCTCACTTGGAGGTCCAGCTCCTGCTCCACACCTTCTTGGCAGCCTCTTTCACTTCCTTGTTCCTCAGGCTGTAGATGACAGGGTTCAGCATGGGTGTGATCACAGGATAAAGAACCGTGAAGACCTTATGATAGATGTGGGTCTCCGTGCTCTTGGGCTTCATGTACATGTAGATGACAGCACCATAGAAGAGTACCACCACAGTCAGGTGTGCTGAGCAGGTGGACAAGGCTTTGCGGCGCCCTGCAGCTGAGGGTATCCTCAGAATGGACACTAGGATATGAGTGTAGGAGAGGCAGATGAGTGTCAGGGGCATGGGCAGCATCAGGATGCTATCAGCTATCAAGAAAGCCTCAATGACTGATGTGTCTCCACATGTTAACTTCAGCACTGCCAGGATCTCGCAAGCAAAGTAGTTGATCACATGGTGGCCACAGAAGGGCAGCCTTATGGCAATGACCATCGCAGTGAGTGATACGAAGAACGAGAAGTCCCAAACAGCTCCCACTGGCCACAGACAGAGCTGGCGGTTCATGAGTACAGGATACTGGAGTGGCCAACAAATGGCCAGGTAGCGATCACAGGCCATGAATGCAAGCAGCAGGCACTCCGTGGAGCCCGTGGACAAGCCCACACACATCTGGACAGCACAGCCAATGAAGGAGATGGTCTTCTGGGTCGACAGGAAGTGGACCAGCATCAAGGGTGTAAATAAGGATGTGTAACAGATGTCCAGGATGGAGAGGTTGCTCAGGAAGAAGTACATGGGCGTGTGCAGGCGGACGTCCAGCACACTCACTACCACGATGGCTGTGTTCCCCAGCAGGGTCACCAGGTACATAGTTAAGCAAAACAGGAAGAATAGGCGCTCTAGGACAGGGTAGGCAGAAAATCCTTTCAGAAAGAACACACACACTTCTGTCATATTGAGGGTCTCCATGCTACATGGTTTGGAAAGACACCGACTGGGGAGAGGGAATGAAGATGCAGACTCGTGGGAAGTGCCAGAACCTCTGGGAGGAGGTGACTACTAGGTCCTTTTCCAGGTCTGTGACTTTATTCAATCTCCGTACCCTCTGTGGAATCCTGCTTATTCATCTGAAAAAGAAGCAGGATTGATTTCAATCGGTGTATCTCTAAAAGAGTGTCATTGTGGACTGTTAGTAGACAATCTGAGAAATTAATTTGATTATACACTGGATTAACCTTTAGTATCTCAGGCTCCCTAGTGCAGAGCTTTCCAGAGCCTTTAATATGCACGTGGACTGTGTAAAAGGAGCAAACAGTATGTTCTGTTCTTTAAATCTATTTGACCATGGACCCTCCTTTCATATAGCACCATTACCCTTTTTCAGATTAGTGTTTTAAGTGCACAGTTAGGGAAACAATGGGCTGGAATAGAGCTCCTTATATTTTAGCTGCTATAGAATCACCTTTGGTGCTCTGGTAGCCTAGTGGTTACGAATCGGGTTGCGAACCGCAAGGTCAGCAGTTCAAAACCACCAGATGTTCTGCAGGAGAAAGATGAGGCTTTCTGCTCCCATAAAGACTTACAGCCTCAGAAACCCTGTACAGGGTCGCTATGAGTCGGTTCCTACTGGTATCATAGTGGTTAAGAGTTGGGCTGCTAATCTCTAGGTCAGAAGTTCAAAAATACAAGTCGTCCCATGGGAGAAAGATAAACTTTCTGCTCCCATAAAGACTCAAAGCCTTGGCTACCATATGCAGGGTCGTCATTAGTCAGAACCAACTCCATGGCACATAACCACCACCATCATAGAATCACCTGGAGAGTTTGTTAAAATCTCGTTTACTGGGCTTGACCCCAGACTTTCTGACTAAGTAGCTCTGGGTTATGCTGATATTGCTGCTCTACTTCGTGGTCTTCAAAGTGACCTACCAGAAGGTACCTGGAATGCTGAAGCTCTTCGTGGCTTTAAGCAATCCTCTGAGCCATTGCTAACAATGTTCCCACTGTTAGGGATGCACTTCCGTTTCCCTCAATGTGCAGAAATCTGACTTGTCTCCTCAGGTCAACTCTGGTCTCCATGATCAAAGCATTCATTGTGAGTTAAATTGGAACTGGGGGTGTGTAGGGCCCTCCTGAGTCCATCAGCTGACTCATCACCTGTCCTGCCCTAGGACCTGCCCCCACACTCACTGTGTGTGCATTGAACCTAAAGAATCACCCCTCTTCACTGCCTATCTTCCTGTTTTCTCTGGCCCAGACCCAGCCCTGCTGAGCCTCCAGAACTTCTAGGGTGTCTGCGGGAAAACATCCTGAGTGGTTAACCCATTGAGTCTCTCATTGTGCAGGTGGTAAACAAAGCACGCAGTGGGTCTCTGGCCAGGTGATTCTAGAATTTAGTTGTCCGGGAAGCAGGACACACACACGGTGCTGAAGGCAGATGCTTACTTTGTCCAAGTCTCCAAACATTGCCTAAACTGGATGTGCATCTTTCTCTCATGTCCTCTCCACAATCCTCTTACTAGCTAAGGAGAATGATTCAACCTCTTCCTTGTGTCTTGGAGCACAGGATATAGTGCTAGATTATTCCATGGGCACATTGCCAGATCCTAAGCCTGGGCTGAAGGCCTCTCCTTATGAAGCCGTGTCCTCCCTTTATTCCTCACTCATTTATTTCAGAAGCAAGAAGTTAGTAGGTTGTGCTAGGCATCAGGGGAGTGGATGAGGCTGGTGTGCCCAGAGGTTCCTGCATCAAACCTGTGTTGTGACGTTGTCCCCTCCACTCTTCTGTACCTAGACTCATCATGCTTCTGCTTTTGTGCCTCTAGTGACAGGAAGCTCATATCTGCCTAGCTCTTCTCTTTCTTTGCTCTTAGCCAAATGCATGGTCACAAAATCCTTCCTGATACAGAGTTTTCACTGGGTTCTACCCACTCTCAGGCTCATTGTCCCCTTAATAACTCCTTTTGGCACACAGTGCCCTGTCCTATGAACCAAGGTTCTACCACAGAGAATTAATTCTTCTGCAAGAAGGACTGTGAGCTAGTCCTGAGACCTCAGTCCAGAGTCATCATGGGATCGAGCTGTGTTGATTACAAACTCTCTGCAAGACTCAGTTTTGAAACTCTGAGGCCAGGCTCCTGAACACGCACCCCACTTTATAGATAATCAGCAGGGCCAGACACAAAGGCAGCATCATGTTTTCCCTGCAGCCCTGATGGCAACTGTGTGGTCACAGCCTGCTTTTTGCACAGTCCCATGTACTAGAATTGATTTCCTAATGTTACTAGGTAAAATTTACAGCCATTGGGTACTTGTTGTGATATATATAAGTTTATGCATATTTGCAACCGCATACACCTGTGTGCACAGACACTGGCTTGACATGCAGATATATATGTACATGCCTATGAGTGTATATGGACTCCTGATGTGGCACTATAGGAGAAGCACTGGATTGCTAACAAAAAAGTCAGTGGTTCAAATCCATCTGCTGTTCCCTGGAGACCTGCAGTGTTGCTATGAGGCAAAACTGACTCGATGGCTCTTGACAACAACAACGTGACTATATATGCTACATGAGTCTCTGTGTCTGGTCACGGACCTGAATGCATGCCCACAGGGAAATGACTACTTCCCTCTCACTCTCTGTTATACACACACACACACACATCTGGTGCAGATCCTCAGACCTTTGACCAGAGTTCAGTGAACCTGGTTGGAGTCCTTATCCCTAGGAGAAAGCACACAGTGACCACATCCAGGCAGGGAGGGAACTTTGAAGTGTCACAAGAGGAGGAGCAATCCTGAGAACAGGGAGAAAACTGCCCAGGATGAGCAGGAGGATGAGGAGCTTCTGAGCAGGAACAAGATCACCAGACCAGCTTTGCTTCCAAGTCTGAGTGCCTGTTCTGCCTTCCTTCCTTCAGTTAGGATGAGGTCAGGGAGAAATGGGGACAGGGCAAACTGTGGCAGGATGCTGTGGAATGCTAGTCTCCAAGCAGAGCCTGGATGTTTTGTCAGCAAAGCCCAAAGGTCCTTTTTGCCTTCACTTTTACTAAAAATCAAGTTCAAGTGCCACCTTCCTTGGGTGGGGGTGGGGGTGGGGGGAGATACCACTAGGTACCTTCCTATATCCTGTTGGTCACTTGAGTCCTCTCTCCTCATGTCCTGTGTTTGCACCACTGGGATAACACTCATGTCCCTTTTTACTTGCAGCCCACACCCTAGTGCTGCCAGTCTGAAGGAACGTCTTTTCCCTTTCTTCCTCTCCCTGGTGCTGAGGGTCATGTTGAGCTACAAGCCTGGCCATGACCAGGTTCTCCCTCTGTTTTGCTTCAGCTCAGTTGACTAAGGCAACTTCAGAGTGAGCAGCTGTCTGCCAAACATAGGCTAGATGATATCCTGTTAGAGATGAGAGGGGCCTTAAAGAACAGCTAGACTAGTTCATGTTATACATGGAGAAGCTGAGGCCCAGAGAGAGCAAGGGGCTTGCTCAGCACCACACAGTGAATTTAAGAGGGAAATCCGAGTCCAAGACCCGGGAATTCCCAGGCTTCCTGACTGCCAGCCCAGCCTCCTTCCTCTGCCTCCACACCACTTCTTACTCACCTCAGGCTTTTCTGGATCCATGCCCCTGGCTGTGTGGAGGGTGTCTCAGAGGGTTCAAGACCAGCGACTTTCTTCTCTGGCTGGAGTTATGGAAACATAGGCCTGAGTCTCCTCTACATAGGGAATCCTAGTGGGCAGGACACTGGGTTTCTGGTGACCCTGTTCTCCAGTGGAAAATGTGCCTAGACTTTCCTAGAATTCAAGATATGTTGAGGAAATTTGATAGAACTCAGTGGAGTTGTTAGAATTTGGTAGAATTACACAAAGTGCTTAGAACTCACTCTGAAGTATATCGGATTTGGTTGAGTCTGGCAATCCTGGTGGGCTCAAAGCTGGACAGAGTGTCCAATCATTCACTGTAGGCAGCCAGGACCCACTGAGCTTGGCAGCTCCCACTCTATCTAGGCTGACAGCCTCTGGAGGAGTAGTTTGCCAGAGGCAGGAGGCACATTTCAAAGCTTCCTATGCACCAAGGGACTGTGCAACTCCCAAGGTAATTTAGGAGAAAAGATGTGCTCAGCTTAGAAAGTTTGAGGTGCTTTGGGGATGATGTCCCAAAGACCTAATTATTGTTGTTGTAGATCTCTTAATTGATGTGGAAAGGCTAGAGAAAGTGCCTCAGGGAGAGGGCTGTACACACACAATCCCTAACCAGTGATGGCTCAGGAACGTTTACGGAATGAATAAATACACGAACAATTAAATATGACCACAAACAACCTTCAACTTTAAGTTTAAAAATAAATGAATGACTGAATGAACAAATGATAGGCAGAGTTGGTTTTTGGACAGCTAGTTAAGGAGCTCTGGTAGCGTAGTGGTTACGAATCGGGCTGCGAACCTTAAGGTCAGCGGTTCGAAACTACCAGCCGCTCCGCGGGAGAAAGATGAGG